GGCCTCGGGGGGCACGGAGAGAGAGGGGCAGAGGAAAGGCTGAGCTGTACCTGCAGGCAGGGCCTGAGAGCCCCTCCCTCGGGCTGGGGTCATCACAGCCCCCCAGGACACAGGGCACAGCCCCCCAGGACACAGCCCCCCAGGACACAGCCCGGCTCCCTGGGGGCAGCTGGGGTTGCACTGCCTCGGGCTGAGCTGCAGCACGAGTGGGAGGAGCAGGGGTCACTTTGCCAGCATCCGTGACAGAAGCAAAAATAATCCTTTCGCTCCCACATGATAAATTTCTCGGCATGATTCATTTGAAAGCAGAATTAACTCCAGTGGGGCTGGCCATGAAGGCTGCTGCAGTGGAGAAGCAGAGGCGGGCGCGCTGGTGGGACGGCAGAGCTTCCAGAGGGGAGCCCGGCCACGGCGGGAGCAAAGCCCAGCTTCAGCTTGGCCCAAATTACCCACCTGGTGAAGCTCTAGGGAACGCAGAACTGAAAAGGACTGCAGACGACCTGAACCCTGCTGTGTTGAGCTGTAAAGCTCCTGCTCATGAGCCCCAGGCTCAGAGCTGCCTGCACAGGCTGGGGCTGTGCCTTTGGGGCTCTCCAGCCTCGGGCACAGGGCGATGCTCGGGCAGCAGCAGCACGAGGGGACACGAAGGAGCAGAGGAGGAAAATCCTCAAAGCCCGGTTTGAAAATAAGGGAACGGCGCTGTCAGCTCGTTCAGTCCCTCCGTGGCTGCCTCGGGGTGTGTGCAGCCAAGCCCTGGGGTTCCTGCCGGGGTGTCAGCGCCCTTGCTGCTCCTGGGATGAGCGACAGGATGGGATGACAGCACCCAGCTCTGCAGAGGTATTTGGAGACTGAGAGACCCTTCCCTGTGCTCCCTCCCCACGGGAGCATCCACGGCTGGCAGGGAGCAGGAAAAGGACCCGGCCCTCTGGTGCCTCTGCTCCGCCACAGCCCGGCCACAAACGCCGTGAGAGGGCACGGGGCAGGGGAGCCCAGAGCCCTGCAGCGCCTGCTTCCTGTTCCAGCTGGCACCAAAAGTCCCCTTGCCCCCGGTGCTGCCTGGTGAGCAGCGCCAGCCGCTCGCTCAGGACTCAGGACAGGGCCCCGAGGCAGCTGGTAAACGAGCCAAGCCCGGCACAGACCCGGCAGTGAAGCAGGAGCCAGGAGGCTGAACTCGCTGCTCAGCCCATCCCTGTCCCCTCAGCCCACCTCTGTCCCCTCAGCCCATCCCTGTCCCCTCAGCCCACCTCTGTCCCTCAGCCCATCCCTGTCCCTCAGCCCATCTCTGTCCCCTCAGCCCATCCCTGTCCCCTCAGTGCCCCCAGGATCCCGATCTCCTCCCCTGGATGTGCCAGCGCTGCACACTCAGCTGGCGCTGTGACTGCACCCTGTCATGCACCCGAGCCCGATGTGACGAGGGTCCTCAGCCGCCCTCACTGCAGAGCAGCCACCTCCCCTCACAGCCCGGCCGAAACGGGGGCTGCGCCAAGCTGCAACCGCAGAACCAGAGCCTGGTGCCCTCTGCTCTTCCCCTGTCATCCCAGCGAAGGAGCTCAATGGCAACCGTTTGGGGTGGTGTTTTGTTTGGTTTGGGGTGTAAGCACATAGCTTTTATTGCTTAAACAATAAAGAGAAGGTTGCACTGCTCACCAGCCTGCAGGTGCCCGTGCCCTCGGTGAGGGCAGAAATGTGGCTTGGGCCGTGCAGCTCAGGGCTCCACAGCCTGGAGATGCTCCTGGGCTGACTCCTCCCGTGCCTTTCCCCTTTCCTCTGGGAGCTGCTGCTGTGCCATGGCCAGGCCCCTGAGCCCCAGGCAGGCGGGTGGGCTGAGAGGGGTCTGTGCTGACCCCCAGAGCGGAGCAGGGACTGGGGACACGGGAAGGGGGCACTGGGGTGGGGCTTTCCCACCTCCCCAGGCACGGAAAAGCAGCTTCTCCTCGTCCTGCCTGCAGCCCAGCTCCGCACAGGCTGCCGGGGCTCGGTGCCATAGCTGGGGAAGAGCAGGAGCTGCTGTGGCACCGTCCCCAGCCAGGATTCCGGGGGGACTCTGCTCCTGCCCTGCCCCTCATGTGGGGTGTGTGGGGTGCCCGTGGGCAGGGGGAGCAGTGCCTCAGGAGCTGAGAGCCTGGAGCACCCCCAGCCTGACACGGCGCTGGGATCCCTCTGGGGTTCACGGGCTGGTCAAACCATCTTCATTCCTGGAAGTTCCCAAATGCTTTTCCAGGCCTGAGAAAAGTGATCCTTAATAGCTGCCATTTTATCTGAACTTTTGGCCATTCGTGCCAAGGCCTTTGTTGACATTTTGTAAGCCTTTTATTTATTAATTCCCTTCCCTCCTCCACGGGCTGCTTGGCACAAACAGCTGTTCCACACAAACAGCTCTGCAAGCAGAGTTCTATCTCCCGGGCTGTGTTATCATACTTCCCCCAGATACAGGCCTGCTTAATAATTAACGACTTTACATTTACTGGAATATGGTATGGATTCCTCTGGTGCACCGAAGGAATCCAGCCCCAGGCCAGCTCTTGGAGGGGAGCCGGGAGAGGAGTGCTCTATCCTGGGCGTGGGGCACAGCCAGCTCCCAGGAAACTCATTCCTGCTGGAAGGTCACACATTTTTTTAGGCTTTGCCACTTCCTGCAGCTCTGGGGAGCAGCTCCCAGCCATGGAAAACCAGCGGATGTTTAGAAAAGACACCGAGCCTCAGAGTCACCGGGCGCTGGGCTTTCCCGGCAGCTCCTGTCTCTCTGCAGGTTTGTCCTGTTGGAAATGCCGAGACAGCCGCACCTGGAGGTGCCGAGACACCAAAGACACCCCGAGGGCGATTTGCTGTCCCCACGGAGGGCTGGGAGTGTCCCTGGGACTGACCCTGGGGCTGTGCCCTGCACCCCCAGCAGCTCACGGCGCCTCGGAGCTGCCGCTGCAAGCAAACACATCAGATTCTGTTCTTGGGGCAGCTCTGACAGGTTCTGAAGTGAGCTGAGAAGTTTTTACATTCATAGCTGCTATTCACTATTTTGAGTCGAAATATTAATTTTTTTCACATTGAGTAGTGTTAAACCCAAAGTGCTGGAGCATGGCAGTGCTTCAAGCTGCTAACAGCATTCTACTCTGAAATGCATCCATAAATAGGAAAGACTGGATAAATTATACTGTACAGCTCCGTAAAACTGACATAAACCCATAAGCAAAACTAACAGCAAAAAAACCCTCTCCTCAACAAAGCTTATCTGGGTCCTTTAGTTCTCATCTCCAAGTCTTTCCTTGTTTAACCTTGGCTTTAAAAGACCTTTGAAAGTTTACCCTTTTTTTTTTTTTTTTTTTTTTTTTTTAAAATAGTTCCAGTTCCGTGCAGTTTTGCAGAGTGAGTGACAGAATTTTTCCTCTCTCATTGCATTTACTCCCCTGCCAGTGACAAATAATGGCAAACCTGGGATTCAGCCCGGGTGGGGAAGAAGCAGCGGGGCAGCCAGAGCCGCTGGTACCAGGCTGGAGCTGTCCCTCGGCTGTCCCCACCCGGGGCTCAAGGCACGGCTGCTGGGCGGCTCTGCTTCCTCCCTGATAAAGCATCGCGCATTTTTGCGGTACCGCGGCGGTTCCTGCCCCAGAGCGATGCCGGGCACGGCTCAGGCGTGAGGGGAGCGCTGGGTGCCCGTGAGCATCGCCTGTGCCAGGCCATCGCCTCTGCCAGGGCATCGCCTGTGCCAGGACATCACCTGCCCATGGGCATCAGCTCTGCCAGGGCATCACCTCTGCCAGGGCATCGCCTGTGCCAGGGCATCACCTGCCCATGGGCATCACCTGTGCCAGGGCATCACCTGTGCCAGGGCATTGCCTGTGCCAGGGCATCACCTCTGCTGGGGCATCGCCTGTGCCAGGGCATCGCCTGCTCGTGGGCATCACCTGTGCCAGGGGAATCGCCTCTGCCAGGGCATCGCCTGTGCCAGGGCATCGCCTGCTCGTGGGCATTGCCTCTGCCAGGGCATCACCTGTGCCAGGGCATCACCTGCCCGTGGGCATCGCCTGTGCCAGGCACGGCTGCGCTGCTGCCCCTGGCCCGGGCACAGGGACCGGCCCCCGGGCAGCCCGGCTGGAGCAGCCCCGCGCTGGGCTGGGCTCTCCGTGGGCAGGTTGGCTCCGTGGGCAGGTTGGCTCCGTGGGCAGGTTGGCAGCTTTGGCGTTTGTTCGGGTGCTGTTGCCCCAGGTGCCCGCAGGCACAGCGGTGCCCGGCCCCAGCCGTCCTGAGCTCCCCAGCTCTCGGACTGATCCCTCGCTCTCAGGCCTCTGCAACCCAGCAGGAGCCTGACAATGAGCGTTTAATTAAAGCAAATCCCCGCCTGATTTGCAAACAGGTTTTTTTTTAATTACAGTGCATCAGAATTATACTTTTAATGAATTGTATGCTGCTGTGGTGATCCCCATCCACTTCCAAAGCTCAGCTGCACAGAGATGTTCATGTTCTGATCTCTGGGGTTTTTTTACCCTGCACAAACATACAACAACCTGCCTGCAGAAGCAGCCCCTGGCGGGGTGGTGCCCACAGAGGGCTCAGGCATTTCGGGATCAGCACCACCCGTCCCGGCTGGGACTGCGGGCCCGGCTCTGCGCGGGGAATCCGTGCGGGAGCGCCGCGCTGGCTCCGTGCCGTGTCACAGCTGCTCCCAAACGCATCGCTGGGGTCTGGGGTGGAGGACGGGACCGCAGTGACCCCGCAGCTCTCCCCAGCACAGCTCCGAGCAGAGCCCACCCCTCCGCACCCTCTGCACCGCAGCCACCCGGTCCAACCCGGGAGCAAGCCCGGGAGGAGGAGACGCACGAGAAAGCCCAGCTTGCAAAGCTGCAGGACAAAGCAGCAGCTCCATGCGGTTTCAGTGCTCCTCTCCTCCTCCTTTTGGGGAGAGGGTGGAGCACAGCCCTGTGCCTGCCCCCACCGAGGCAGCCGGCACACGCAGCGTCCCCGAGGAGCCGGGCAGCGGCACACGCTGTTCCCGGCAGTGGCAGCAGCATGCGGTGGGAAGGCACCGCGCACGGGGGCTGGAGCCGCTCCGCGCCTGGCGGGGAGACAGCTGGGCCTCCTCCGGACCAGCAGAACGGGGCTGACTCAGCTGCCGGTGCTGCAGAGCCGCGCGTGGGGCTCCACGTGCCCCCACAGCCCGCGGGCTCGGCCCCCCGGGCCCAGGTGAGCATCTCGGCCCAGGTGAGCATCTTGAACCCAGGTGAACATCCTGGCCCAGGTGAGCATCCCAGGCCAGGTGAGCATCCTGAACCCAGGTGAGCATCTTGAACCCAGGTGAGCACTCGGGCCAGGTGAGCATCCCAGCCCAGGTGAACATATTGGCCCAGGTGAGCATCCCGGACCCAGGTGAGCATCCTGAACCCAGGTGAGCATCTTGAACCCAGGTGAGCACTTGGGCCCCGGGGCTCTGGCAGCGTCCCGAGGGGCCGGGAGCAGTGCCGGGAAGCTCTCGGCAGGCAGCAGCTCTGCCAAAGGCATTCCCAGCTTGGCACGGGACCTGTTCCCCAGGCAAGAAGAGGCACGAAGCCGCTGACACGTTTCTTCCTGTTCCCATTGAAAACTGCGTCGGAGCAAGGCTGACAGAAATCATGTGCTGGGTTTAACAGATTTCTCCCCAGAATGAGGCTTCGGCTCAGAAGGGGAGGATGGAAGGGTTTAAAAAATTAATACAGGATCCTGTTTGCCTGAGAGTACTGTCACAGCACATTCAGCCAGGCTGCCAGGTCCCTCGCTGGCTCCTCCTGGCCTGCAGGAGTCTGAGCTGGTGCCCCTTGGACAGCAGCGGTTTGGTTTGTGTGGTCATTAATATCCACTGCATCGGGAAAGGATTTGCAAATCAAGTACCAGAAAATGTTGCCCATCTGTTGTGAGTGGGAACCTTCAAACTGCAGCATCACAAACTATCGCCCAGGACTGAGGGGAGAAAAAAAGGAGGGAAGAAAAGAAAACGGGTTGGAAGTATGTCCCTTCCTGCTGTGTGTCTGGCTGGCTGCAGGCTGGAAGGGTGGGCACTGCCCCGGCTCTGGGGCTGGCAGGTACCAGGGAGGGGGGCACTGCCAGGTGCTGCAGCAGGGAGAAGTGCAAAACACCAGGAAATATCCAGGAGTAGGAAAGGTCCACAGTCCAGTGGTGAATGTGGAATGGCACGGCAGAGGCACGGCAAACACAGAGCAGGGCTCTGGCAGTTTCTAACACTGGGCACTGCCCGTGGGTCGTTGCCCTGCTCCTGCATGTTAGGGCATCTCAGGGCGTGGGGCCAGCCCCCTCCTGTCCCATCCTGTCTGATCCCTGTGCTGTCCCCACAGGAGGGGGCAGCGCTGGCCCCGAGCAGCCCCAGCTCTCGGGGGCTCACAGCTGCCCTGCTCACCCTGCCAGCGAGCCGGGGTGCAGGAACCAGGGCTGGCTGCCCTGCTCACCCTGCCAGCGAGCCGGGCTGGCTCAGGCTGCGGGATGGCAGCAGGGCAGCCCCGCGGGCCCAGCAGCGGGCGCTGGGCACAGCCCTGTCTCCCTGCCCGTGAAGAACGAGGGGTTCTGCCGGCACCTGCCGAGCAGCGTGTGGGAACTCGTGGCTGGATTACGCTTTTGCTGCCCTGGGAGCAACGTGATGACTGAATTCCCGAGCAAAAAAACAGATTGGGAAACAGAAGATTGCTCAATGCACCTGCTGGTGAGTCAGAAGGCACAGACCCGGCACAGGGGTACCCGGAGGCAGCAGGGAATGACCCTGGGGGGACCAGCCCCTCACTCTGGCAGAGAATTGGCACTCCAGGCTTGGCTCTGGCCTGAGCCCAGCCTGAACAACTGCCGAGGGCAGGGAATTCCCAGGCCACTGGGCTGGGCTTGGCACCCGAGTCCTGCAGCATCCCCCAGCCCCAGCCTGCCCTGGTGGCACAGGCACGGCCAGCAAGGGGCCTGTCCCAGGCAGCTGGGGCTCACAGGAACGGGGGCTCAGCAGGTTCTCTAGGGAAGGTGTCTGGCACTGCCAGGCCAGTGTCCGTGTTTACCAACACCTGGCCACAGCAGGCTCCTCCAAAGGAAAAGGACACGGCTAAACCCCATGAAAGGGCAGCCCAGACCCAGGGTGTGCATCTCACAGCAGGGACACAGGTCCTCCAAACAGCGTGGAGACATTCAGGAGAACAGACACAAAGTGACTGATCCAGGTATGGGGAGAGGTCAATACAGACAGGCACGGGGACCCTCGAGAGGGAATGTTGGTACAGGCTCAGGGACCCCCCAAAAGTTTTATAGAGCAAGCTGGATTTTGTGAATTCCCTCCAGCTCTATCCTGTGAGCTGCTCCTCTTTCCTCTCTATCTGTGCATCTATTTTAGGATGACGTTTTCACTTCAGCACAGATGTTCAGAACTGGGTTTCATGCAGTAACGATATGTTCACATCATTTTCCTTTTTGCACCAGAAACCACGAGCTGAGGAGCTGGAGCCAGCAGCAGCTGGCAGAGCTGGTAAGAGCCGCTCTGGGCTGTCTGCCCCCTTTGCTTAGGGCGCGGTGGCCACAGCCAGACCCCTCGGCCACCACGTGTCGGGGTGTCCCTGGCAGCAGCCCCGGCTGCGGCACCGCTGCCCCCCTCAGGGCAGAGCGGCCCCCAAAGCGCCCAAAGCTGCTGGACGAGGCTCTGCCCAGACCGAGCACCGGGCACGGAGGCGAGGGCCGGCATCGGGAGAAGAGTGCGGCAGCGGGAGGGAAGGACCAGCGGAGCCCCTCCAGGCCAGGGGGCTCCGCGCCCCGCACTGCCCGAGGCACAGCCCTGGCAGCTCCGCCGGGATTTGCCAGCGAGCACAGGGACCTCGGGAGCTGCCCTGCCGCTGCCCCGGCTCCGACCTGCACACGGAGAGCTCCGGATCCCTCCAGCCCCTCCCTTCCCCGGGATGAGCCCCCCCAAATGCTCACCACTCATCCCCCCACCAGCCCCTGCGCCATTCTCCGCACTCCCTGCTGTCTCCTGCCTCCCGTGCCCCGCAGCTGGTGCTGGCAGGTCGCTGAGGCTGTGGCACGGGGCGCTGGGGGCTGTGCCAGCCTGCCGGCCCCGCGCTGTGTGCATCCCAGACACGCCGTGGGCACAGCTGAGCCCGTCCCAGCACCTCTGCCCATGCCAGGGCTGTGCCCGGTGCCAGGGCATCGTGCCACCCGCAGCTGGGACCACAGACAGGGCTCCTTTTGGGCAGGAAATATGCTCTTTTGAGAATTCCAACTAATATCTGGATACATAAACACCCTCAGAATTATTCTGCTTCTTTCTTCCTGCAACTATTTCCTGCCCAGGGAGCAGAGGTGATTAGAACTCTTCCCCAGGCTCCTGTTCCTCCCTTCCTGAAGGCCCAGAATCCTCCCCAGTTCAGAAAAGCCTCCCAGCTGCAGACACAGGAGATCCTTGGAACAAAATTCTATTATTTTGCTTTTCACAACTGATACAGTTGTCATTGCTGCTCCCGTGGTTGTCGTTGTCTGGCTCTGGCCAGCGAGGTGCCACATCCCAGAGGGGTGGCAGGGACAGCGAGGTGCCACATCCCAGAGGGGTGGCAGGGACAGCGAGGTGCCACATCCCAGAGGGGTGTCACAGCTTTGGCAGCAGCTCCTTCTGGCGGCTCTGCTCGGCACCCGAGCTGCTGAATCGTCCCTGCAGCGACAGCCCCGGGCAGAGCTGCTGCTCCTCCCGGCCCGGCCCGCAGAGCCGCCCAGGACACAGCCGGCCCCAAGGCACGGAGCCCGGGAGCCACCGAGCCGCTGTCGAAGCCACAGAGGAAAATCGAGCTGGGTTCTTTTTGCCAGTTCTGAACACCGGCACTGCTCAGCACGTTGTTTTTCCCTTGGCAGCTAAATTGGGGATAAATGAAGTGCTGGTGCCATCCTGAGCATGGGACCAAGGCAGTGCAGGGGACTGGGTGCTCGGCCAGCAGGAATGGGTGTCCAGGTGTGCTGAGCTGGGAAACGGGGCCGATACACCTGTCTGGGAAAGGCCAGCTGGGGTCACAGGAGACACCCGGAATCCCCCTGGAAAACAACTGCCCTGAGGTGTTTCCTTCAATCAACTAAAGTTGTGATGTTGTGATCAAAAATTCTGATTACCAGTAATTTGTGGGAAAGCGAGGGAGGAACTGCAACACGTGGCAACAGAGCTCCCTCTAATGTCAGCCGCTGCCGGGCTGCACCCGCTCCCTGCTGCCCCATTCCCTCACCTCCCTTCCAGTTCCCTTTATTCCCTGCGCCTCCATTCCCCGCACCTCCAGGTTTCTTCTCCCTGTTCCTTGCCCCCTGGTGCCACACTCCCCTCACTCCCTTCACTCTGAATTCCCTGCACCCCCAGCTCCCTGTTCTCCAATTCCCTGAGGCTCCAGCTCCCTGTGCCCCCATTCCCCACTCCCCTCATTCCCCGCAGGGAGGGCCTGGGGGTCCCAGTGTGTCCCTGAACCTCAGAGGTGTTGCCACAGGAAGATAACAACAGTGGGGGCCGATCCAGAGATCCTGGTGCTTTGCATTTACCCCCAGGCTCTAACAGGAATATCCTCATTTTAATACACATCCTGTGGATGGAACGTGCTGGTGCAGAGAAGCCCCAGGACCAAATAAATTGTGGGCAGTCCCACAAGTGCTCAGACACGTTCAAGCCCACGTAACGCAGCGGAGCCTTTTAACCTGGCGGAGGAAAAGATAATGAAGAAAGAGAACTTGCATTAGGGCAATTTCACTTTATTTTTTCCATACAGCAAGGTCAACTATAGCAGTAATAATAAAATAAGCATAAACCCAAATTGCAGCCCAGGACAGAGTACGTAACTGGAGCAACTACAAGCAAAGTAAGTCTGTGGTTACGTAAGAGCAAACCCAAGCGCGCCCGTCCTTCCAGCAGATGAGCCGGGGGCTGCCGAGCGCAGCTCGTTAATTCATTAATTACTGATTGGTGTCAGCTCCCAGCCCCACGCCTGCTCCCAGCTTTGGATGGCCGGGCTCCTGCAGCGCTTTCCGTGAAAAGGGAAGATCTCCCAGGTTGTTTCTCACCTGCTAAAAGAACAGGACCACTACAGCGAGAAAAGAATCCCCTACCTACAGCTACGGGTGCTGTTCCGTTTGCCTGTCCATGGTTGAACTCTGTGAATGTCAGTATTTGTTTTGAAGAATCTTTTTTTGTGAACAAGAAACCACTGAAATTGTCAGAAACTGGTTTGAATAGCATATATCTTTAATATATTTTGATACTTTAAACATGCAGTAGATTTTGAATAATGTACGGAATATCTGAGCCATGATTCCCTGGATGGGCTGAAGTACCTGCTTTTTTTTTTTTGGTTTTTTTTTTTTTTTTTCCTTTTTTTGTTTCTTAATGATTTTCAGGCAGATTTGACCCAGTGGAGCTTCTGTCAGTCATGAGATCTCGGAAGGATGGCAGATCTTTCCAGCTGAAAAAATCCTGGCAAACTACAAGCTGTCCACATAAAGCAAAGCAACTTTTTGGAAGGGGGATGGAGTGCTAACTCTGTGCCACTTTTGCAAGCAATTTTGTTCAGCCTGTCATTTTATTTAGCCTTAACAAAACTCCTTGTAATTATAGACATTTTTATTCAAAATAAGATCTTACTATTATACAGGTTTCTCTCTTTTTTGACTATATACAGAAGTGCAAAAAGTCAACCTTCGCTCTCGACGTCCCAACTGCAGCATAATCAACCCTCAAGAGTTTGCACACACACACTAGAATTCTTGTTACGTAAACTTTGAGTATTTGGATTATCAACAAAAAGTCCCTTGATCTATTGATTATGCAGCTTATTTATAACAAGGCCTGATATTCAGGGATTTCAAAAAATATTTAAACAATATTTTAACATTTGAAATGGATACAGTAGAAAATAAATTTTATTCTAATATCTAGGAACTAGATTTTTTTTTCTCATAATAACTAATTACAAACAAAATAAATCATCAAAATATTACTCAATTGTCTGCCAGGATTGTTGCCATAGCAACAACTTAACTTCTTACTTAGCAATGATTATATAATTATAAGATATCCATATAAAAGATCTTTGTTCTTTGAATGAAAACTAGACAAGAACTAACAATGACTGACATTCTTACATTGTTGTATTAGATCAGTAAAATAGAAATCATTTAGTTAACAATAATACGAATACTCATAAGACACTACATATAGATTCCAAACTGAGTATGTTATGAAGAAAACTACTTTTTTTTTTTTTGTATTTTGAAAAAGTCACCAGTAAATTCTAATAAAACAAAATTCTATGAACTGAAATGGTATCAACTGGTAATAGAAAATGAAAACGAGCTAATAAATGTAAGAAATAAAAACTACACTTTTAACAAGAAAAAATAAGTAAATTCTCTATGGTAAGTCACTACAATAACATGTGAAGTCACCTATACTTTCTTAACACGATTGAAATTACATTGGTATGGGTTTTAACCCGTAATGTAATAATCTAAGGCTTTAATAGATGTACAGTACAATCAGGAAAATCAACACATCATTCTTATCTATAAAGCATCTCTCTCAAGCATAAAAACTCGCAGTAAACTCGGAGTATGGCGAGTTCTACAACCGAACCCGCGCCTCTCCCTCCCTGCCCACCCGGGGCCTGGCCCCAGGCAGCCCCTGGCTGAACAGAGCAAAAATATCCTTTACTGGCTGCAACATCCAAACCACAAAAAGGAATTCCTTTGGATGAATCCATTCTTAGAACTTGAATGCACATCTATTTGTTTGTTTGTATTTTGTAAAGGCTTTCTAAGGCTATAAGCAGTTAATCTGAACAAAAAAAGAAAAATCACATATAAAACTCACCCGAGTATTAACCCACCCAATTTCTACACTAATTAACGTCTCATTTGTCCTATTTTGGTTTGTCATGCATCTGCTGTCAGTGCTTCTGCGTCTTTGTTTAGAGTCGCCGCGGACGCGGGACTTGATGAATTAAAGTGAAACCCATCTCTGCAAAACATTTATAGTCCTTGTGACTCGAGACAGAGGCTATAAATAGAGCAAAAGAAGTTCCTCAAACATTTGTTACTGTGTCTCAGAAATGGCTTTTCCCTTTGTAGATCACCTTATACAGTAACTATGCATAAATATGACATACAACGCCTTGGGAGAGTTTACAGATAATATTGTCCAGAAGGGTTGTGCACAGCTGGAGCATCTCTCTGGTGCTGCCCACTGGCTGTGAGGAGCAATTGGCCATTTCTGAGACAGCTTTGGTTTGAAACAGAATGGTGCCCTTTGACTGATCAGTACTCATCAAGTCAGTGAAAACGTGGTTCTGAAAATAACACTGCGGAAATAATACTCTGATGGATGTACAGTCTATGGCACTTCATGAGAATCCTTAACAACGTGGTACTTAAAGCCATTGATGTGCTTTAAAATATACACAGTTGTGGTTTTGCTTGGCACATTCATCTCTGTCAGATTCCTCTCTTCTCATTTCTTACAATCTATTACATTAAAAATATTACTCTTAAACAAAAATTACTGTGCATGCACGCTCTCGTCTATAATGGCAATTTTAAATACAAGGTGCACCTTTGTTATTTGTAAACCTTGAAAGAAATAAACTTACTTTAAAAAATTATATCTTGGTCTACAGACGTACCAATACATAATAGGTTTCTGGCTGCAGCATCGTCGGTCTTTCCGAGGCTGTGGGAGCAGCCCCGGCGCGCCGGCAGCGCGGCAAAGGCGGACGATGCTGCAGGCCCGGACAGTAAGATCACCTCAGCACAAATATCAATTCAATGTACAAAGTAGATAGGCAACAGTGTGCAGTGGAGTCCCACGGTCTCGCTTCGTCTCGTTAACATGCAATGTGTGATGTCACTGCTGAGGGGTTCCCAGTGCTGCTGGACAGTATTTACATACGCTATGGCTAATGAGCTCGGCCTCTTCCCACCCAAATCCGGCCTCCTCGCCGCCGACACCATCTGGGAAGGGAAGAGCACGAAGTGTTCTCGGCACAGCCAGGACTCGCTGTCACACGTGGCCCTGCAGGAGCCCTCTGGCAGCAGAAGCATCCCATCCCACCCGAGGCACTCCATCCACCCTCCCTGCGCCCAGCCAGCAGTTTAACAACGTTTATGCTCAGCTGAAAGGAGCAGCCGTGATTACAAACCCACTGTGGCCAAAGGGTCAATCCTCAGCCTCAGAAATAATTCCATTATGGCCAAGGAATTCAATAAAAACGAGCAGAAATGGAGCACAGAAGGGAGGAAGGTAACACAAAGGAGGAGCCGTCCTGGGACAGGATGGCTGCAGGAGGGGAATCCCACAATAACAGGAGAAAAATGAGTTTCCCAGGAAAATGCTGGGGTTCCAGATGTTGAGATTTAAAAGCCATTCTTTTTGAATGGAATCATCTTCCCCCAAGTCTGCCCTCAGCTCAGGTCAGTCCTGAGGCCACCACAGACAGAACATAAACCTCGGTGAACCCTGATTTTGCTGGGTGGGCATGTACAAACTAACACATGATGTGGGGGTACCCGTGGGATCTCCCCTCAGAGAGGAATGGCCCCCCAGGGAGGTCAGAGCCTCCGCCCGCAGAGCTTACTGGCTTTCTTTGAAAGAAGATAAAAACATTCTGTCCCTTACAGCAACAAATTGCACACATAAGAAAAAATACAGCAACAACACACTGGGAACTTACTGTTTGATGACCAAATGTCTACATCTGTGTAACATACTTGTGGCTAGTCAGATGTTCGGCAGATATTATGGGTATCTACAGGTAAGAAATGTAAACAGTGAGTGACAGGTGCAACGAGCCCACCCAGAGGCACAGCATTTGCTACAGAACATCAGTTTGGGAAAGGGAGGATCGGCTGTGAGTCGGTGGATTTTATATCGTAACTATAAGTTAAAGTCAACTGAAGTGCTACAATAGCAACTTTTAACTGGAAAACACTGGGTTAAGTACTACTGGACAAATATAAATAAGTATTATTGGTTGTTCAGGAAATAGAAGTTAACATCTACAAGTCATGCAGTGCAGTAATTGAAAATAGCCCTTTTTGTTGGCCTACACAAAATTCTGTGCTTTCAGTGTCTCAGATGGTGAATTCTACAGTGGCCTCATTTCAGTGTGATTTGGTGAAGTGCTCACTGCTGTCACTGTCCTGGGTTTTGAATGCCAAACCTACGATGCCCTGAGCTTGATCTTCATGGCTGGTGAAGAGGCCTGGCTGAGAAGAGCTCTGCCCCTCCCGCAGCAGCTGCGGCACCGCGCGGAGCAGCCGGCAAGCAAAGCCTCCCCAGGCAGGGAAACACCCCCCAAAGTGCCAAAGTGCTCGGCTGCACAAAGAGGACCGAGCACGTGGCTCCCCTCGAGTGTCCTGTCTAACAAAGCAGGATCCCATGGAGCCCACTGCCAGCAGTGCCACTGGCAGGTGACCCTGCGCCCCGGCCGTGGGTCACGGTGGCACCGCAGCGCCCAGGGCAGCAGACGTGCTCAGGCACAGGGAACTGTGCTGGGGCCTGGGACACAACGTGGATTTGCACCATCCCAAACGGCTGTGGCACTTGGAAAGACCCTTTTCCCTGACGGGCACCACGGCTGGTCTGTGAATCTGCCCAGTAAAGAGAACGGGGGTTTCTTCTCAGCTAACTCATGGGCAGGTCCTGCTGCTGTTTTCCACCCGTGTGCCCTCTCCTCCCCTGGCAGCTCACACACCACAGCATCGCCAACTCCACAGAAACGGGCTCGGAGCAGAATGAAGCTTCTCATACCATGTTTTCCTGCTGCTGCAGGACAGGCTGCGGCACCCGAGCGGAGCAGCATCAGGGGCAGTGCTGTCGACCAGAGCAAGGACCTTCCACACCAGCCCGGGAAGATGAAGGGCCACATCCTTAGCCTTTGGCATGCAGGCACACGGCATTGGGTGGCATTAAATACCTTCAGCGTTGCTCACATGGTATATACATATATGGGTATATATGTATATATGGAGGTTTGGCTGCAGAACTGCACTAAGTGTGTTATGAGGCTCTGGGGAGGAAAGGCATGAAATGACCAGATTCTACAGCAGAAGGTTTTCCCTGTGATCTCCCTGGGAAGTGTGTGGTTACTAACAGAGAGGGGATTTAAAACTAATGACTTTTTCTGTTCTCACAACCCTCAGGACATGCACAGGATACAGAGACCCACTGAAAGGAACTGCCTGGTGCAATAAACTACAATATTAAGAGGCTTTGGGCATATAGGAGGTTGCTTGCTGAGGTGGCACATATGCAGAGGTAGCCCCACCTATGAACTAGCTTTTCAAAACACAAATTCTCAGGCCAAGTTTAAAGCTCTGAGTGAGCTGTTCATTCAGCAAACATTTCTCAAGAGAAGAACGTGCTAGCTGCTGAGCAGACTAACCTGGGCTGTTTTTGGCATTCTACAACATCCAGTTCCCTTTGGAGGCTTGGGATGTGCACGCCCAGGTATCACTGCAATGATGCCATTTGGGAATTGTATTTTTGAGAGATGAGGAAGCAGACAGGTTAACGAGGGATGTACAGCTGGGGCAGCACAAAATGGTAGTGCTCAACAGGTAAAGGTGCAAAGGCTCAAAGCCAGAGGCCCTGGGGCTCACCCTGCAGCTCTGGGTGTGCTGAGGAGCCACCTGTCCTGAGCCAGGAGCCGAGTGCTTCAGGTAAGCCTGCCTTAACACTGACATTTACCTGCACAGGAGCACACCTGCACAACACTGAGGAGAACCTGGAGCCCCCTTTTGTGAGGGACACACCTGTGATCCCACTGAGCTGGAAGCAAGACCTGCATATCAGACCAGAACTGAGAGCTTCCTGGCATGAACAACTGCCCAGTAAATCTCAAAAAGGAATTAGCTTTTAGAAGAGGAACAGGAGGCTCTTTAAAACGTTTTTATTGTTGCACTTTCAGCCAGATGTTGTACAGAAATCTGCTTTTCTGACAGCGTCCTGTGCTCAGGTGCAGCTCCAGCCGCTCCTCTGGCCCAGGGACTCATCTTTAGAGCACTGGTTCTGGCTTTCCTGGCAGGACTTCTAATCACTTACGTGGTAAAGCATTACTCTCATATTCCTGAAATACATCCAAACACGGCAATGACTGGGGTGGCTATTGAGAAATAAACCCAGACTCTAATGGGCATTTTCTTATCTGAGCTCTGTTCAAAGCAATGGGCCATTCCAAGGAGAATCACAAGGCAGCAACAAAGGCTTCTAGGAAGTTTCTGTGTGGCCCATGCTCACAGGGCTTTGTTTTACACTTGGAAGAGGAGAGTCAGAACATGTTTGGCCTGCTAAACTCAGACTGTAAGAACCTGCAGCCCCTCTGCACAAAGACTCCCCTGGCTTTCCCTGAGTTCTGCACTGAAAGGAGCTGTTGGCTCCACAGAAAGGGAAATAAATCATGGGTTTGTGTATTACCCCTTGCTCTTTGCATCCCTGAGAACAGAAATAAGCAGCATGGCCCATAAATGTCAAGACTGAGTCAGAAACTCTATTGTCAATTATTTTTAGCATCAGAAATGGAACTGCAGCACCTTTGGAGCACAGCTAAGGGCTGATTAAGCTGTGCTGCAGCTCTCTGAGAGAATGTGTAGGCCAACAAGAGGTCAGATCCAAACCCCCATGCTCATTAAAGCACCGATTTCGAGTTGTCTGTAAGGAACAAAGCTGTAAATTAGCAAACCTGGTTGGCTGTGGCTGTTGCAGCGAAGGGAACACTTGTGGCAGATGTTGTTGCTGCAGACACAGTGGCTGGCGTAGCACCGTGCACCATGGGAACTTTCGGAAGGAAAATCAAATAAGCAAACATACAGAAGAGTGTAGCAGTATGGGACCAGAGCGACACGTGGGAGTCATTGAGCATGGTTTACCACAGCAAAAAGCCCGAGACACCATTGGCAGCGCGTGACATGCAACCACAGAGCAAAGCAGGACAGCATTCCAGGAGGGAGGGGAGGGAGATGAAAGAGAAAAAAAAGGGGAAAATGCTCGTTACCATCAAATCAAGGAAATCGACACAAACAAGCTTAACCATTTCAATATGAAAAACAAGAGTTTTTTCAATGCCCTTATATTTACAAATTTTTGTCTTTTAGAAATTCAACCCAAATATTTACTGCTAACAGAAATTAATCTTGTAGAAGGACAGAATACAGCTACATGGCTATGGTAAGATACAGTCTTTAGTTAACACAAGATAGTTTCTAAACACTGGAACTCATAGTCCAGTCAAAATCCACCAAGGAACAATGTGCAATTAAAAACTGCTGTACAAAATTAACATCTACGTGTCCATGTCAATTAAATAAAACAATCACATTTAATTGACAGGTTGTTAGTGCAGGAGGCTCGGGGAGATGGACTGGCACGAGGGCTGTACATTAACTCTAGCAGTGGATTTTGAGGGTCTGTGAGCTGCACCACAGGTTTAAGATAATCAAGAAACAAAGCTGGCACCTACCAACACTTGTAGCGGGTGTCATGCACAATATTGAGCCTGCTCATCATGCATTGCAACAGGAAGGTGGATTTGGAAAGGGAAAAGAATTAAAACAACCCATCACACGTGTAATTAGAAATTTCATTGAACAAAGAAGAAAAATTGTTATTACGGGCACAGTGGCATGTAACTGTCAGCACAATAAACCAAACACGAGCACAGTGATCCGTGAGAACGAGGCCTCAGGCACGGGGCAGCGGCTGGGGCTGGGCTGGGACCCTGCTGGCCCCGGAGCACAGCCAGGAAAGCCTTCCCCACTCTGACTCACAGCTCCTGGACCTGTCTGCCTTTGGACACAAGCCTTGTCGTGGTCCTTTCCCTGCTCTTCTCAGATCAAAGAGATGCTTCAAACTCACCCTGCCTGGTGCCTGTGGTCCCCAGTGCAGGGACCAGGGACCTGCTGTCCTTGTTGGAGCCGTCCAGGCAGATGGACAGGGGAGGTGACAGAGCATCTCCTCTCCTAGCCCAGGGAATGCAAGGCCACCCCAGGTGACATGGCAGGCAGGACTTTGGCTGCAGCCCCGAGCCCTGGAGCTGCCAGAGAAGGGCAGTGACCCTGCCTGTCCCCACTCTGGCTGCTCCTCACTCTGTGGGCTCTGTGGCCCAGAGCCGTGGCTGAATGATCCCTGTGCCCTGTGCAGCCCCCAGTGACACCCCACAGCCCCTGTTCAGCCTTCTGTTCTACACTGGAGGATGCATTTTAAGCTGCTGGTGCCTGGGCTCACAGCCCCAACTCCCTTCAGACCACACACCTGGAGAGTTCTGCCCTGCAACCAGAACCAGAAGCAGGAAAGTGATTTTGGGATCATTCTGGCATAATTTTTAAGTATCACCAAGCTGGCAATTCTCTTTAAGTTACACAGCAAAATGCCTTCCACCAGACTGATCTCACAATCTTCTATTTCCACTTCAAGGATAATAAACATATACTGATCTCTTCCAGAATATCCATTTTTAATAAATTATTTACTTTTTAATTTAACAAATAACATTTATTAACACTGCTAATGATGAGTGACACAGCTGAAACGGAAATAAACTCTGAAATCTGGGAATGAGATTGCAGTCAAAATGGAACGATGTCCTAGCAGCCTGCCAGAGGCAGCCAGGCAAGGCTGCCTCAGTGACATCCCGTGGCTGTGCTGGGGACAGGCAATGGCTCCAGCTGTGCCAAGCGTGGGAGGGGATGCACAGCCTCAGGAGCAGTTAACTATGCAGGGAAAAAGGCCACTTTAATTACTGCTGGGGCCAAGGTTATCCTCTGTCACTGCTGTATCTGTAAGGCAACAAAGGCAAGGGCATCATCATGTTTCCTGATTACTCCTCTGGGTCATGGAAGAGACTGAGAACACTGGCAAAGAAAGGGTAAAGGAAGGGCCTCTCCTGACCTCCCCTGGCACAAATCACGGCTGAAGCCAAGGGGATCACTTGCAAGACTGAAAAATGGAGCAGAGTTTGGCTAAAAAGTACAAACAGTAAGCAGAAGTGCTTTCTTGGTCCCTCTGGTGGCTCTCGGTGGCATCAGTGGGGTTTCAGAGAAGAAGCCCTGAGCTGTGGCTCTGCAGAAGTGCCCCATGCCCTGGGCACCCTGCAGTGGTCCATCCCTCCATGCACAGGTGTATCTACCTGCTACACATGAGCTGGGTGTTATGAGCACTCTGAAACATCCCTGTAACACTTTTCAGTGAAAAGCTCCAAATTTCAGTCTGAATGATCATCATTAACATTATGACCAGTGCATACAGTTTTTGAAAGGGAATTAAAGCAAATGAACATGAGGCAGAAAGTAGAATGCTTGCTGGGGTGGCATAACTCCCAAACAGATATTAAGCTTTATGACCCTCTTACGAGTAATAAAAACAATTTTTGCTATGATCCTAATATTCAGCTTAACTTCAGAACCTTTGACTGACTGGTGAGAAGACATGAACAATGAATGTTCACCTTCAATGTTGCCTGGCTGTTCAACACAAGGCAGAATTTTAATTTGAGGATGTTCCAACTTAACTGATCATAACTTCATAACCAGATTATTTCTGCAGCACAATAAAGCTATTTCTATAAATATTCTAGGTTTATTTAATTATTTTTTTTCTCTTTTCTCCCTTGTATTATTCCTCAGTCTATTTCTTCTGCCCAATCTATAATGCCTGTTTAAGAACAACACTCCACACAGCGCAAGCACTCCTGTGGAGGTGAGCAGTGGTGTGTGACCTTCCCCTCCCCAATGCTTTGGGGGAGAGCAGTGGTTTTGCACAGGCCCAGCAGCCCCAGGGAGGAAAGTGCTTAAGGAAAGCCTCTGGGCACTGAGTCCCAGCCAGGAACACGGGAGTCTCTGGTGCTGAAGCTGCAGTAATTGAACAAATACACAACGGGTTAACACGATGCAGAGAGAGCTGCAGCCCTTCCTCCCTGGCTCTGGGGTTCAGCTGCCAGCTGCAATCCTGCCCCTTGCAGCTGCACCACGAGTCAGCTCCTGGGAGCATCCTGCCAACCCGACCCCTGGCTCTGGAGGAGCTCACTTCTCAAGGCCAGTCTGGTCACCTGGGGACACACCTGGGGCAGAGCAGCTGCACCCGTGCTCCTGAGGAGGCAGGGAGCTGAGGCACAGGACGGTCCCAGCACGGGCAGGACGTCCCTCAGCTGCCCCAGGAGCACTGCAGCCAGCCCCCAGTCGCTGCAGGACATGGGGCAGGTGAAGGCCTGAGGACCTGGAGCTCTGCACAGTCACAGCAGGAGGGGCACCCGCGTCTGCCGAGGTGTCCCCAGGGACCAAACCCAGGCATGCAGAGCCTCCTGGCTCAGCAGACTAACTGCCCTTATCTCAACAGCACAGATGTTCCTGGCTCTTTCATGCAACACCCCTAAACTCCCCTCTCAGTCTGGGGACAGCTTCCAGCAGCCACGGTTTCGGGGACACCTCAAGAGGGGAGCTGTGCACAGAGGGAGCTTCACTTGAGAGAGGTGATATGAATGTCTGAAGAACATTTAATCACTTAAGGTGTGCTGGAGTGCAGTGTCCACTCCCAGGCATGGATGTTCCCTGGATGTGCTTTACATCCCTGGCACACAGCCAGCCAGAACAATGCCTTACAATTCAGAAGAGGTATCTGAGGTTTTCTGGACTATCAGTGGGAGAACACGAGGAGTGAAGTGCCCTGCAGAGAGGAGGGTCCTGCCCAGATTGCCCACAGGGAACCAACCCTGGGCACACCCACCCTGTGTAGGTTCTGCAGGCGTCCTGCCCTCCAGCCCTCCTGCACACTCTGCCTGGGGCAACTAGGAACACAAATGAGCACTTACACCTTGGGTGTCTGAACCTGAAAAATGTCACTTTAATTCAGATCCCACTGAGCTGCCCTGGCCCTGCTCCGTGGCCGTGGAGCTGGGGGCACCCACGCTCTGTGCTCTCCGTGGCTTCGCAGGGACAGATGGAGAAACTCTGTGTCCAGGTGCCTGTGCCCAAACAGGAACTGATCCCAACTCATTTGAAGCGGGACAAACTGAAAAGGGCAAGGTGCCAAAGGCATTTTTCGAACTTTTTGGAAAGCACTGGACTACTGGAAAGCTCAAACTGCAGCTATCTGAAAAATATAAAGAGAGAATTCATAATAGCTCAGGCTAAAAACTCCCTTATTTTCTTGTGTAGCATACACTAAACTTCAGTGGTCAGGAAAGGTCTAATGAGGCCTCAAGAACCACTGCCAATCTCCTGGAGGTTTCAGTGTGGATCTGCTGGAGGAAGAGCTGAGGTAAGGTGTGTCAAGAGCCAATGGGAAAGGCCCCAGTCCATGATGAGGTGCAAATGGGGTCTGGCACACACAAACCACAACCCCAGCCCCTGAGTTTGAAGGGGAAGTACAAAGGCAGCTCCAGCGTTTCCAGAAACCATCCAGCCCCTTTGCTGCCTTCATGGAAGCTGGAAAATTGATTTTTACAGACTCCACTGGTTATGCTGTGCCAAAAGAGATCTGTGAATTGTTTAACATTCTTAGGAAGGATTCTGAGTCTATCTGGAGGGGGCTCTGAGCAACCTGGTCTACTGGAAGGTGTCCCCCCATGGCAGAGGGTTTGCAGTGAGGTGGTCTTTAAGGTCCTTCCCAACCCAAACCACTCAGGGTTCCATGAGTCTACAACTGCATACACATTTTTATATGGATTTTAATACGTGGGCTAGGGATCTGACCTGCAGCTTATCCAACCCATCTTGCTATTGACTCCAGCAAGCTTTGCAATATTTACTGATACCTTTCAGTGGCTGCAATGCATCTTTGCATTATTAAAATGCACTAGATCAAGAAACTGATTTTTGTACCATTTAAAGTATACATGTTGGCTGCATGCCAGATCAAGACAGAATAGTAAAGGGCACTGGGAACATACTTGCCAAAGATATTTAGGATAAAATCCTTTAAATTTTTGGGTAGAGACTGATTAGCTGTATTTCTTCCTCTTCCCAGTCTGCATTATGAAGGGCTGTCCTCACAGACTCTTTCCCATTTTTGAGTACAGATCTATCAGCTCTGCACATCTCCTGGAAGGATGGTGCTGCTTTAGTGTGGGTTCAGGTGTAACAAACTACCTCAGCTGTGTAACTAAGGGCAGAGGCTCCCAGGACATACTGGAGATCATTTCTCATGCAGTGCCATCAGCAGAACCAAAGCACATATTCCAACTTTATGTCCCATCACTAGTCCTCCAAAAGGATTTCTGCTTGGTCCATAGTACAGGCATCAACTCTTCACCAGTTACACCAGGACTCTTGTCTGAGAACAAGCACTTGGCTTTAATCAGTCCAAGACCAGCCCTGAGACACCAGTGTGGAGGCCCAAACTGTGACTTCTTGTGTAGGTTTGTGATTCTCCACCTGTGAGACTGCCCGTGCCACCTGGGATCACTGCACCCCAATAAAACCTCATTGAAAAACCCCTTCGTGTGTGTGACTCAGAGCCACCACTGCCAAGGCCAAGGGGTCTTACAGGGAAACAAGCACAACAGCTGAGGGATGTGGAAGGAAGAGCAGTTAATCCAGGGAAACAGGAAGGAGAGAGGAGATTTCAAATTCTGATTTGGGGTGACAGAGCATGACGCTGATTTTGTGTTAGACTGGAAAACACCCGCCCAGCTTCTGCGAGGAGCAGAGAGAAGCCAGCGTAGCCACAGGCAGCCCCTCCTCTGCCCAGGGGCACGGGCACTGCTGTGCCCTGGCTGGAGGGGCTGCCTGTGCCTGGCACCAGCGGCCTCCAGCACACACCGCGCTTGCACCAGCAACCCACAGCTGCCTCCTAGGGTGCTCTTCCCAGAAATGCCCCTGCTCCCGCCCCTGAAAAGGCGCCAGAGATGCACTTACCTGGTGGGAGAAAGGCTGTATGCTGCTGCAACTGCATGTTGGCAAGAGCTTGCTGGTATTGGAAGATACCAGTGTTAAAGACTGCGGTGGCACCATTGGTTTTTTCAAGCGCAGGCCTCTTTGGTAAGGGGGGAAGTACAGCTTGAGGAATTCCCTGAATGGTGGATGGGTATAAAAATAAAGTCCAGTAACAAAAAAGAAAAAAAAAAAAAAAGGGAGAGGGTGGGTGGGGTGTGGAGGAGGATGGGAGGGAAGGAGGGAGGGAGGGAAAAAGGGAGGAGAAAAGGAGAGAGAAAAAGGAAAAAAGAAAAATCAGTAGAAGGCAAAATAACCAGGCAGCACCATGTTTCTCCATGAGCAAGCAAGCGGCATAGCAGACTGAACTACCAAATAAAAGGCGAGGGAACAGCTTTCCAGGGAGCACTATTTGCCTACCACTACAGCGGCACAGGGACCGGCGGGACAGCCGCTGTGGGCACCGGCATCAGTGCCACGCCAGGGAAAGCTTCGGGGGGCCAGGAGCCAGGCTCTCGGGGAAGCAGCACTGCTAGCTCCACGAGGATCACACGTAGAAGCCATGTTAATAGTCACCGTCTGGAGCGGATGGCAGGGCCGTGGTGACACCCCAGTCCCCGGGCCCCAGCGCTGCCCGGGCATGCAGAGCGCGCCGCATGCCGGCCCCGGCCGCCTCCGCGCCACCAAGCCATGCCAACGCCCCTGCGCCGGCACCCGCGAGGGGACAGGGACAGGGGACACGGGAGGGGACGGGAAGGGGCCGGCGGGGCGCGGGGGCGGCGGGGAGGGCACCCGGCCTGGCCCGGGGGCGGGCCGCGGGGCCACGGCCGCGCACAGCCGGACCCGCGGCCACCGCCTCGCCCCGCCGGCCCTGCCGCCCCCACTGTGCTCCGCTTCCCACACCCACGGGCTCAGCACAGGCGGGACCCTCTGCCACCACAGCCCCCCAGCGCTGCCCTCGCCTCGCCAGCGCACCAGCTCCTCACGGGGCCCAGGTCTGGCTGCTACAGCTACAGGCCTGCGCTAGCGCCCGGGACACCGCCAGCCCTCAGGGACACGGGACGGGGACAGCAGGAACGTGGTCAGTCCGCTGCAAACTACACCTCTACAAACACGGACTTACAGAAACTGAACATGGATTTATCTAGCTGTGCAGCTGGACAGATACACATCTGCCCACACACGACGTACAGCCAACCAGAGACACAAGTAGCCCACACGTACGGACACGCACGCACGTATGCACGCACAGAGGTACACACAGGCACTCCGAACACCAGCAGGCAAAATTAGTCAAACATCTCAATGGTCAGGAACTACTTCACAGCAGATCTGGCATCACATGCTGAGAAAGCTCATTGCACCGTGTAGTGACCGGGGTCCCCAGGCACACGCACCCTCCTCAGCAAGGACAAACACACATCCACCATTGCCTCTCCTCAATCTACGTCTACGTCCACAAGTGCTCCCACACTCACCATGGCAGCTGCGGTCGCTGCTGCTTGGGCAGCTGCAGCTTGGTTAACCTGGTACTGGGCAGCCTTGATCTTGGCTTGCAGGTGTGCAGGAGGGTGAAAATATTTGCACTTTTCCCGGGAGCACCTCCCTTTGATGTAATCCATGCAGACGGTGACCGTGTTGTCGTTGGTGTCGATCATGGCGCTGTCGGCAGGGTGAGCGAACCGGCAGTCGTTCTCTCCCCTGTTGCAGTTCCCACGCTGGTACTCTCGACATACCTGTGACACCAGGAAAAGAAAGCCACTTACTTTTGGTGCTGGGTGTTGCAGGCAAGGCTCGGAGCAGAGACAAGCCTTCTGAAAGCCTGCGAGAGCACCGCGAGGAAGGGGCCTGGCCCAGGCGGTGCACTGCAGTGGGATGGAGGGCTCAGGGACCTGGCAGCAGAGACTGGCTTCTCCAGAGCCACTTCTGATGTCAAGGAGCACGAAACCCCACCGTGATCAGAGCCAAGCACACAGCAGGTGCCGTTCTGGCTCCCACTGAGCTGTTTCTGTCTCCTGAAATGTGCCATGGCTGCTCTCGGGCACCACCCAAGCACCCCAAGGTGCTCGGCCATGCGCTGCTGTGGCCTGGCTGTGCTCGATGTGCTCATTAAGGTGAGTGGATGGTGTGTCCCCAGGGAGCCCCACCGGGGGGGCACTCTGTGTCCATGTGCCCCCATGATCCAGGCATCTGCCAGGGGACAGCAGCCCGAGCCCACGGTGGTGGCACAGCCCCTGTGCTGCCCAGCCATCACCCTGGTGAGGTGGGGAACAGCAGCGGCCACTGCTCTCACTGTCACATGCCAGCAGCCAGATGGAGCTGGAGGGTTCAGACACTGCAGCTGCTTGGGTGACAGCCCCTGCAGTGTCCCCGAGGGCTCCAGCCAGTCCCGAGCCCACAGAGACCCCCAGCACCGCAGACACGGACTGTGTCACCAGTGTGACAAACACCGGCCCCCTCCGCAGACGTGCCAACCCTGTGTCTGACAGACTGACGTGGGCTCCTGTCACGGTCGGTTCTCCCCAAACTGCCAACGAAACACACTTTGCATTCCAGTTTTCCAAAGGCCATAGGAAACAAAGGGACAAAATCAGTTCTGCATAAAAATAAAACCCCTTAGTAGATGGAATTTCCTGTTCAAGGTGGGTGCATGTTAGCTTGGATCATAAGTATTTCCTCAAGGACCTTGGCTCTGATCCTTGCAACAACCCACATTTGGTGGTGTTTCCCTCCACACCAGTCCTTGGGCTGCTGTTTAACCCTCGTGCCACTGCCAGTGCCACCTGCCCATCCACCTGGGTATGAACTGAGTCGCGGCAGGACCAGGACCAGGTCGGGTGTGAAAACCCCACATTTGTCCAGGGCTATTCCTGCACAAGTCTGTTAATAGGCTTTTTTCACGTGGTGACAGGCTCCAGGTGTGTGTTGGCACCTGAGCCACGTGAGCCAGGCCCTGTCCCTCCACGGCCCCTGCTCATCCCGTGCCCTCTTGCTCAGGGCTCACAGAACAGATTCCGCAGCACACCAGAAACAGCTCAGGGAAACTCCTGGCCTGGAAAAGAACCACTGGCCTGCCAGGTAACCCTGCAGCCAGATCCCTTCCCTGGTCCAGTCCCCTGCAGTGACACATGCCAGCCAGCACAACAGTCCTGATCACCCAGAGCTCACCAGCTCCAAGGAAAGTTGCTTCTTTCTGGCAAAACATGGCATGTAAGAACCAAGCAGAAAACAGCAGCTTGGCTGTGGTCATTCCTGACTTTGGAACACTTCTAATAGAAAATCATGGCGTTCCAACAGAAACAGCTGTTTTTGATAAAGTGTTAGGCAATTCCTTTTTCTCTCACTTCCCTGTCCTTCTTACTTCTTTTCTAGTTCACTGAAGAACCACACTTTGTTCAAGGTATTTCCTGCAGGGGAGGAGTGTGAGGAAAGCTGTGGAAAAGCCTGAAGCCATGACATTTCCATCCTGAGATGCAGATTCCTTACAGGAGTGGCTGAAAGCTCTGGACACCCAAGACCTGCATGCTGTCAGTATGAAATCCAGACGAAAGCAATCCCACTGCTAGTAGCAGTCACCGACCTCACTTTACCAAGACTCACATTCATTCAGGAGACACAGTGCTGTGGGGTCTGCCTGCATCCCTGAAAACGCCAGGTGTGCTTACTGAGAGCTTTCAGCCTGGGAAGAGCCTGGGTCTCTATGCCAGAACGTGTGCTGACTTAATTCCTGCCAGTGTATATCACTCTTGAAAACAAATATTTAAAATTCTAAGCAGAACCAATCATACTCCAAGATTAGATGCTAACATCATTGTGGTTATTTCTCTCCAGGACAGTTCATTCCCAGGGAGAGTGAGTGGAGCCTTATAAAGCTCTGATCATGCCACAACAAATGGCAATGCCACAGCTGCAGCTCCCTGGAAGAGCAGGTAGACACTGCTGGCTCCTCTGGGAGGTAATAGCCAGGTCATGCAGAATCTCCAAAATCCATTCTGCATTTCTGTAGCCTATAAAGTACATTCAAATATTTTGCTGTTCATAAAAATTACATGCTTGTTTAGTGTTTGGATACTGAATTTGGATACTCCAGATCAGACCACCTCTGTACTGGAAAGCATTTGCGAATTATATGCTCACCTACATGTTTCACTGTTTAAACTGAATTTGCAGAAGGGAAAAACAGTATTGTGACCCTGAGAGTGCTACTCTAGCATCTCCCTCTCATGCAGAGGAGTCTGGCTCAGCACTGCACCACTTCTCTGAACAGCAATATCAAGAGAATGCAGCATCCAGAGGGCCAAATCCTGCGTGCTGAGGTCCCAGATGACATCAGCTCCCTGTGCACAGTGGTCACAGCCTGTGGCCAGCACCAGGGCTGCCCTGGAGGGGCACACAAAGGGGTGTCCCTGCTTTCTAGGGTGCTTGGGGACAGTGGGTACATCTTGCTTATGGCCAGGATGCTTTTGAGCCCTCGTCCCACGCTGACCATCCACGGGCACTGCAGGGCTGGAAGCACGATCAAACACAGCAGCTGATCTTGGCAGCACAACCCAAAGGGTTCCCACCATAGGCATCCTCCTCTCCATACTCATTTCCAAATCCATTATGATTTATTTATGAATTTACCTAATTGCATTTTGGTTTTAATCCACCACTGGCAGGTGTCCATCACGAAACAGAGTCCTCAAGGGAAAACCATCCCTGGGTGATTCCAACCAGCCACCTGTGTGCCAGCTCAGAGCTCAGCACGGCTGCCTCCCCTGCAACCTGAGCGTGCTTTGGGGAACGCTTCCCTCAGGGAAAACAGCTCTAAAAAGGGAAATGATGTGATCCCACAGGAGGGTGACCTGTGGTGATGTGAGCTCTGAGAATAGTGACAGCAGCAGCGGGAAACGCTGGCTGCCAGATGACCCTCCACACTGCTCCCAGCTCGCCCCTTCTGAGCAGCAGCTCATCAGTCAGGGATGCAGCTAAGGAAAAGGAATTCATTTCCCTTGGAAGGAGAGTCAATCCCTGTTAGTGCAGATGCACAGGCAGAAAGAACACAGTTACAAATACAGCAGGCTGCATAAATCAGAGATCCCTCTTGCTCCTCCCAGCGTGCTCCCTGAGCTCAGTGAGCAGCCCCACTGCCAGAAGGGAGACCAGCAGCAGCCATGCAGGAGACAGCAGCCTTGAGCCCTCACCCCTTCCATGTCCAGCACACACCAGGGTGACAGCAGGGCAGCCTGGCTGCTCAGCCTCCCCCATCGCTGCCTTTTAACCACAGAGCCAGCCAGGGCTGCCAGGCACCTGCTCTCAGGCTGTGCCCACGGGCTGAGCTCTATGTTCTCAGGCTGTGCTCCATGCTCCCAGGCTGTGCTCTCAGGCTGTGTTCCCCACTCTCAGGCTGTGCTCTCAGGCAGTGCTCTCAGGCTGTGATCCATGCTCCCAGGCTGTGCTCTCAGGCTGTTCTCCGGCTCCCAGGCTGTGCTCTCAGGCTGTGCTCTCAGGCTGTGATCATGCTCCCAGGCTGTGCTCTCAGGCTGTGCTCCCAGGCTGTGCTCCCAGGCTGTGCTCTCAGGCTGTGCTCTCAGGCTGTGCCCACGGGCTGTGCTCTCAGGCTGTGCTCTCAGGCTGTGCTCACGGGCTGTGCCCACGGGCTGTGCCCCAAGCTCTGGCAGCCGGCAGCACGTCCCTGGCTCCCCGCCCACGCTGCCGCAGCACCGATAAAGTGCCGAAAACACTGTCAGGCCTTTCAGATAAGAAAGATTCGGAGCAAGGGGGAGCAGCAGCTCAAGAGCACCGACACTTGTCAGGGTTGTAGCGAGGGTGATAAGCCAGGTGCAGGAGGCCAGCAGGGGAGCGTGGGCACGTCTGCCCAGAGCCAGAGAGGCCGAGTCATCTGCACCCAGCAGCTGCAGCTCTGCACCTCCCTAGTGCTCAGGGGCTGTGCCCCCACCATGCTAACGCCTTCTGGGCACACACTAACGGCTTCGTGGCACCCTTGCTGCTGCCATGATCATTCCTAAACATTCCCGTTTCCTTCTACAAGGGAGGGTCAGAGGCAGAGCGGCAGCCTGAACTCACTGTACAATCACTCAGCACTCCTCGTTCTTACCGCCACAAAGATACCACATTACCAGCCCAAGTGAAACCTGCATTATTTCCTTTCACAAGGAAAGTACTTCCTACCTAGAAGACATAATAAATGACAGCACTTGTGAGAGTAAGCTACAGCACGCAGCCCTACCTCCAGCCTGTCTGTCCTCATCAGCTTCTGGGCGGCGGCGGCGGCGGCGGCAGGAACGGGCACGCCGGGGTTTCCTGTCACCAGCATCGGGGCCGTGGGCAGGATCTCGGCGGGCACCAGGCCGGGAGACACGGGCCCCAGGTAGGGGTTGAAGGCGGCTGATGCGTTGGTGGCTAAGCTCGGTGCAACAGAAAACATTGGCTGCAAAGGGACACAGGGAAAGAGACACTTAGCATTGGGTGTGCAGCAGCTTGCCACGCTGCCAGCAAAACAACTCTCTGGGCATCCCCTGGAGCTGAACAGGGGAGTTTCTACTGACTGGAAAGGAGCATTTGTTGTGTTTGTGGGAACACCCGTGCAGTTGTTGCAAGAGCACAGGACAGGTGTCCCACCAGCCTCTGCTGGCCCTCCTGCTCCAGCTTCCCTGCACACTCACAGCACGTGGCAGCTCCTGCAGCAAACTCACAGTGGATCCACACTCCAGCAATGCCATAATGAATGACAGACGCTCTGTGGGTCACAGAGAGTCTGGGCTACCAGGGGGACATGGCCACAGCAGGTACAACGCTGGCTCTTGGGGAAAAGGCATCTGAGAGCCCTGACAAAGCACCGACCACACTCGACTTCAGGCACAGGCAAAGCTTTTCTGACCCTGCTGCAGCTAGAGCTGGCTCAGGAACTCCTGAGGTTTCACAGCCACAATCCTCCCGTTTTACAGAACTCAGCAGGCTGGCCATGCAGATAATCACACACTTTTATTACTGCTTTAGTTAGGCTAAAGCATCAAACCAGGGGAAGAAAGAGCACATGCAAATATGATTTTATTTTGTTTGTTTGCATGTTTTCAAAAAAGAGTCAAGTGCCCTTGTGGGTGTGAAGATAATTGGGTGCAGAGCCCAAATAATGCTGTGAAAACCCAACACAGAGCTGCTACACTGTGGCAAGGATTAAATAACTCTCCTGCCCCCAAATGCCGTGTAACTGCCAAATAAAATTCAGCCAGGAGTGTTTGTCTTTCACTATCTAAATAAGGCAGTTACTCAAGGCATTTAGGTTCTTTCCCCCAACTAATTTTTAGAGGGAAGAACAGCTACAGATTTAACACAACTCTTTCCCTGTTTCATATCAATTTAAGGCAGACAGCAGAGAACAGCACCTGTTTCTGTTCTCCTGAGGAAATGATGAATTGTTTGGAAGCAAGAAACATTTGAAATAATGAACAAAAACATGCAGGGATTACTGGAGAAAACAGAATGAGAGTTGTGTAAATGGCTATAATTTCTGTAATGCTTATGATTCTTCATCCATGTGAATGGAAAACAACCTGGCAAATATTACAGGAAATTAAATATTACTCTTAAATACACTATTAATTAACTGCACTTTTCATTATTGGGTTATCAGCTATGTAATAATGAACTTCAAAATAGAACCAGTCTGTTAGTGTGTAACTTAAGAGATGTTGGTGTTTAATTTCAGCCCAATACACTCAAACAGACACCTGTGTGCCTGCTGTACAGCAAATAAGACTACCCCATTTATTTTCTACTGAGCTTGTTTTCTAGCAATATAAATACCCTGCAGCCTTTTGACCACTGCAGAGTAACAGCATGTTATCAGAGCCAGCTGGCATTGCTCTGAAGCTCACAGGGACATCGTGATGTGCTGCACAGTCTAAGTGGGGACAGCCCCTGTCCTACAGCCCCAGGGGCACACGGCCACTGCCGGGCCAGGGCACAGAGCCACCCCAGCTCTCTGCTGCTGCGTGGGCTCATACTGACTGATGCACTAGCCATGGGCAAGCTGAACCCAACTCCCCTAAACTAAAGCTCAATTCCAGCAAGCAATTCTCTGGGAAAGTTCCCTTTGGTAAAGTTTGGAAAGTTCCCAGTGGGTATCTTCTCAAAGCCAGGAGTTTCCTAGAGCACACAATACTGCAAAGGAAACGAAAATCTCATGCAGATCCCTCACTTTTCAAACTCTGAGAATAAAGCTGTGAAAGACAAATTAACCCAAGGTTACTGAAATAATTAAAAATATTACTTCAGGCAAGGCAGAATTAAGCAACACAAAGACATACAGCGGGGCATGTCAGTGCAGTTGACTCCCCTCCCACTCCCGACCTTTGTGGGGTTTCCCTGGTGTGGAAGCCTGTGCTGCCTGCACTCAGCCCCCCCGAGGGACCCTGCACGTACCACGGGCTGCAGCGGGGCTCCGGGCATCATGGCATTGGCCAGCTGCATCTGCTGGGCCAGCATGGCCATGTTCTTCTGCTGGATCAGGTTATTGCGGCCATTGATCTCCAGCTGCGTTTTTAAGTGTGGTGGTGGGTGAAGATATTTGCAGTTTTCCCTTGAACATCGGCCCTGAAGAAGAGAATGGGCACAGTAGGATTAGAAGCTGCATCTTTGTTCCTTATGCCATGGGCTAAAGCAAACACAAGCAGACACACTTACCAGATACTGGAAAATGAGACCCTACATGAGTACAATGTAAAAGTCAGAGCCAATTACTGCTAAATGGGTAACATGGAACTACAACATGTGTCGCTGGAATAAGAGGAGCAGTTAACCAACCTGATTCTGAAATCCAGACTAAACTAAATCTAAACTCAATGTCCTCATTGCAGTGCTGGGGTTTAGGCAGTTCCACAACTCTCTGGATGACATCCAAAGCCCGGCAGTACGTGTTGTACACCCCAACCACTTAATGTACTTCATACACTCAAATGCTTTAAAGCCATAAAAATCATTCCTGTGATCTAATGCAATGTCCTCTGGCTCCCAGGAAACAAGGAGCCTCTCTGCTTCTCCACTGAGACCAGCATTTCTATCCACCTAAGACATGGTCTTTAAGGAAAGCTATTTACTGAGAGTTAAAGACTACCAGAATATGCCACAGCCCCAGGTAAATTTTGCTTATGCTTTGCTATCACCAGCTACTACCAAAACACTTACATCCTCCTGTATGCATGTAGCTCTGGAGCTCAGGGCACCTTTAACCTTCAATCTCTTAATTTACAGATCTTAGCGAATTTCCCAGAAGAAATGCAGACTTGTCTGTCTGGGAGCAGGGTTTCTGGTCTCACTTTCATTCCATGGACGGTTACAAATGGTGCACAGAGTGCCCAGGAGCTGGAAGCCGCAGGCACCGATCTCAGCAGAACACGGGCAGCATTCATCCCCTGCCCCTGCAGCGAGCACTTCCCCGGTACCCAGTCACTGCATCCTGCTGACTGCATCCACAGAGGTCAAGGCAAATTTTCATCTCTCTGAACCTTCTCTGAGCTCTCTTCCAATCATTACAAAAGGAATATTAGAAGTGAGTAAATTCAGAGGTGGCAGGGGATGCTGCAGTGTCCTGATGGGCCACACCAGCACAGCGGGGGATTAACCCAATCCTGCTGGACTAAAACTCAGCACAATGCTCCTCAGCAGGGGCCCTCGGTGTCCCAGCCACTCTGCCGGGGTGCTCTGCCCAGCCCTGGGCTCAGCAGTGTCAGACAGTGCCTGCTGAGCTCAGCCCAGCCCCTCCGAGCAGGACAGCTGCCACAAACTTCTCACTCTTATTCAATCATGGCTGCAAGCACACATTTCCTTTGCTCTCCTTGCAGCAGTAAGTCTTTTAATCTCATGCTGCCTCTCCATTTCTTTTTTTGGTGCTCAATATATAGATTTATTTCCTACCCTGTATAGTTTCATTGTCAAAAATGAAGAAATGCCACCCACTCCGGATGGGAGCAGGATGTGCCTGACCTTGCTGTGTTCAGCCTCCTGTGACACCTCATCGTGTGCAGCACAGGGCTCAGCACGGTCTGCTGATCAGAAGTTGGACTGAGAGGATTTTTCACCTTGCCTTCAGGGGAGCAGGAACTTGTACCTGTCCCCAGGCACCTTCCCACAGGGCAGAAGCATCCCCAGCTACTCAGCACGGCTTTACTCCCCACAAAGCACAAGGCACTTTGGATGAACACTTACCGAATTGTGGGAAACGTGGCAAACTCAGACAAAAGAAAATGACCAATCATGCCTCGGAAAAATCACTCCCAAAATTCTACATTCAGAAAATCCAGGGTATTCCTAGAAGACCTGGATCCTCTGACAGGTGTGTTGGATCATGACAGTACACCTGGGTACACCTGCACACAGGTGAACAGGAGTGTACCCACTTCTGTGTGTCACCACCAGGCTCTTCCCCACAACACCAGTTTTCTGGGAAGCACAGCACACCCTGCTTCTAACATCCTACACTATATGCTAGGAATACAACTGCAATTTTTGCTCTGCGATAATAATCTCCTTCCAGAAAACACCCTGATTGCACATTTAATAACAGAAAAGCTTTCTTGGGCTTCCCTTCTGAGACTGCAAGCTCCTTTACTCACTGAGTCTGTGATTCTGTAATTTGAAGTGGCTATTCATGGTCAGACCTACAGCCCTCTATAATTTAGCAGGTTACCTCCTAAAGACAAAAGAAAAATCTCCTTGTGGCCAACAGAGACTCCAGCGAGTGCTGCACATCCCACCCACCCTGCATGAACACGCACCACCCCATCACCACGGAACAATTATTAACGACTGACAGAATTTTCAGCCACTGAAACCCTTGTGGATGTTCTGGGGGTGCTGTGGCACCGACTGCAGCTGCTGGGGCTGCGGCGTTCCCTCGGCCGGGGGCTCTGCCTGGGGCTGCTTCCCCCGGGCTGGGGATGCCAAAGCTGCAGAACCAGCAGCCACAGCTCAAGAGCGCAGCTGGAACACACGGAATGCTCCTGATCCAAAACAAACAGGCAAACACCTCCCTCCGTCAGGGAGTACAAATCCCTCTGAACCCGAGCAGGATGGCTGCTACGTACCACCAACTGTTGCCTGTAAATGGTAAAACTATTTATCCTGATGCCCATGTGTTTTACAGGAAAACATTTAACTCCATGTAAGCTGTGGTTTCCTTTTTAAAAATAAACTGTTTGCAGGCGCTTTGTGTTGGGGCTGCCTGCCACGTTCAGAGATACCTTTTCAGTATATCCCAGGGCCTGGAGCACGCAGCCTGCAGCCCGGTCCGTGACTTACACCTCCGGGGCTGGTCAGAGGCACGGCTGCAGTCACTGAACCTCTACACAAGGCTGATGCACGGCTGACTGCAGACAGCCCAACACCTGCTGGAGGGGTCGCTGCAGCCAGTTCTGCCCTTGTGATGCCGTGGGACCACAGGTGCCTCTCGCAGAGCTGTCCCACACTGTAACCAGGCGCTGGTTCAGGGCCAAACGCAGAGCTGGGGCAGTGCTCGCCCTCCGGACCCTGCAGCTCCCCCAGCCCAACAGCCTGCCAGGGAGGGGCTGGGGGTTTGGACACTCCCAAACAGCTCTGGGAGCAAGCAGCATGCCAGCTGGGGCAAACACACATCTCCGGGCAAGGAGGTGAGGGCATCACCCCTGAGAAGCCCCCTCAGCTCCCCCCAGGGCTGCTGCTGTGGCACAGGGATACTGATGGCAGCACTCTGCAGACACTTTTCAAAGTGAACCCTTTCATGTGAAAACACACCAAAGTGACCACTTAATGACGTCTTTGCGTGTGATTCTTGTACATAAAAGCCTCAACCCCTCTAATGGATCATTTGGCTTGCACAGCTAATAGCACTCCTACGGGAGCTGTCCTACTGCCATGAAATACAACAGGATTTAAAAAAAGAAAGAAAAAAGCAAACAGAGCAAGCAGACTGCCAGCACAAAACAGAAGGAAAGACACCAGCTCAGCAGCAAAACCCTCCCTGCTGCTCCTGCTGTCTGTGGGTCCCTCCTCCTCCTCCTCAGCCCCGAGGAAGCACAGAATGATCCCCAGTGCCACAACAGTGGCATGAGGATGGGGATGGGGATATGGAGACATTCACACCTCTGGATCTTTTCTTTGCACCCACAGTGATGTCAACTGAGCACCTGTCCAGCCCTAGCCACTCTGACCTGGGGTAAGGTGGCTGCTGGGATACCTCCAAATTACCCCAGTTCTCATTTCATAACAGCATTAGCAAATGCATCAACCACATATGGATATACAAGTACTTACATCAATTCTTTAACTTTTATAAATTTTATTTATATGTATGTATTTTAAAATTTTTATGTTTTTAACATTTATATAAATATTCGATACAATATGTGGTTGATCTTGCTATTACTACAAATGTTTGTGTATCCCCATGTCTGTACAGACACCACGTACGTATCAAGCTATCAGTATTTATATTGACTCTCCCAGGACACACAAACTCTGCAGCCTGAGATTGAGCAACACTTCATTTCCAAGCACCCCTAACCCTAACCCTCCCCCTGTCCCCAGCCAGTGCTGTACCCCAGGACATGAGGGAATTACGTTTTTCCAGGGGGGAGCAGAAAGAGCAGCCTCCCCCCAGCCCGAGGGGCTTTGTCCCCCCCAAGGAGCAGCACGGTGTCACAGCACATTGGGAACCACAAGCTCTTCCCTGCGAGAGCTCCAGCTGCTCCTTGAACTCCCAGTGCTGCCAAATCCTTTTAGAGAATCTCTGCTAATCCGTATGATGCTCGCTCAGGCGCGCAATGACCCACAAGTTAATGAATATGACTTTATGCCCGGATCAAGTAAAACACACGGCAGATTTAATCTGTTTATGAGCGCAGATTCCCGTGGTGCCCAGCTGCAAGGGGCCAGAACAGTGGGATGCTGAGCAGGTAGCGGGATTGCTGTGATCCAAATCCTGCTCACAGCTGTAGTCCCCTGACACTGACCCCACAGGCACGACACAGAGCACTACACAGAACCTTCACCAGAAATCTGCCCTGAACAGACAAAGCAAATAAGCAGCAGGAGAGGGGTGAGGCCCCATCACTGTGCTGATCCTCTGCACAGAGCTCTGCACTGAGCCCAGCTGGGCACCCCTGATGGCTGCCTTTAGCTCCCAGAGATGCCCACAGCGTACCCCCAGCCTGGCATCCCCTGCCCCATCAGACGAGACACGAGATGGGACCCGCATCCCCACTGCAGCTGGATGTGGGCAGGGACAGAGCGACCCCTCCAGATGTGCACAGGCGCCAGGGGTGCACAGGCTCCACAACAAGGATGGGGGAGAGGGGGAAGGAGAAGCAATCCCTATTGCCCCTCACAACAGGCAGGGCTTTCACCAGGGTATGCTCATGGTGTTGGTGTTTAACTTCTGAAGCTCGCCACCGCTGCCCCACACATGGCACCCCAGGGGATGTGGGCACAGGAGTGGTCACGCCAGCACGGTGAGGGCTCGGGGCAGCGCTGAGCAACACCAAAATGACCAAAATTACCGTCACACAGACAAACCGCTCTGTGCCGCCCATCAGCCTCCTCCCGCCGCCTGAAGGTCAGTG